CTTTTACATATCCATATATATATATATATATATATCTTCACGGGATAGAATCCCTCCCTCTCCAACGCTACCCACAACAACCGGCTGAAATTAGTTTAGTTGTGGGGTTTGCAATGACAAACACAGACCAAGAGTTACTACAGTAGTTTTTCATCCTGGGATGGCAAAGTTGCTCGTATTTTACAATAGGATTCGTGGTTTGTCGGGAATCTTCATCAATACTGCGTAGTAGGTGAGACTCAAGTCCTCATGTCTGCACCAAATCAGGTTGTAAACAAAAGTTCAGGAGATATTTCCACTGAAGAAGTCACCAGCTTGCTTCCCTACAGATACCCCATTACCACTCAGACTAAAGAAAACAAGAAATCTCTCCTGGGAAACCGAAGATTTCAGTCTGGAATTACGCTCATCTATTGATGTAATCTACATAAGTTAAATTTTGACGCATCAAAGTCTGATTCAAGTCAAACGGATTGCTTTGTCGTCACAATAAAGTAATTTAGACGGAAAGGAACTGGTTAACCTTTAAAACTAATTGGTTGTATGATTCTCTACACATTTTATGGAGAGCTTTTTGCCTAATTTTTTGAACAATCTCCGCACTGAAATGAACTCAACATGAGTAGGTGTCTGGGGATAATGCGTTGAGAAAAAGAAGAGAACCAAAACCATTCCACGTTGTCGCAATATTTGTGGACAATGTAGTTTATTGTTTTTCATGAGTGTTGTTCACAGAAAGCTCCACAAACCTACGGTTTGCATTGGTCGAGCAAGACTGTTTAATACCGGTTACTGCAAAGCAGAACACGCCTCAAACGATGTGATCTGGCAATTCGTCGCAAATAAGACGGTACAAAAGTGTAAACTTTGTACTTTTTATCTCGGTTTAAAGCAGAAAATAGTTGATTAGCAAAACAATTACATTTACCTCTTGATTCTTCCTGTGTATCAGACGTCCCAACCGAGGGTTAAAGTACTGACGGAAAACGTTCGAAGCAAAAAGCGCTTAGGAAAAGGTTCGCTTGGAAAGTTTCTTCCTATGTAGCATGTATATCGCCAAGTGAATTACCTTAAAGATCTACTGTATCCCTCCATTGTTCAGCATCATTTCCAGGTAAGTCAAATGAATACTGTTTTTGCTTTCAGACAGATGCAGGTGATTTACAGAAAATGACAAATAACTTTAGGAGAAGCTCAAATCCATGACATTCACTGAAAGACCAGTAAAACCATCGACTAGTATATTCGACAAGATACTGATATCGACCTTAGTTAAAGTGACTGATAACTTTTGGCGCTGGACGTTCGGTTTGATTACGGGTATAATAAGAATTTAACAAGCAAGAGGTGTCCGCAGTCTTCCAATAAAATTCTACTCTTGTAATGTTTGTTACTATAAAAACGTGGGACTAAAGTCATCCAATCATATAGAGCTACCTTGGAATTGTTAGAGTCGAATTTTCTGTACGTCTGAAATTAGTGATTTACTGAAAACTCACAGAAGTTTCTAACATAAATGCGTTTTTTGCTGACTGTTTCAAGGTACAAAGTTTGGACCCAACGAAATCACTACATTTCTTGACTTGGGGATGGCGGACCATAGAGAGAGGCTTAGGGTATGCTAAGGCAAGAGAATGTAGCCAGTTTTTGTAGTTTAACTTTTGTTGCATTTTTTATTTTTCCCATTCATATACTATTTTACTCATAAATCGTAGTTTACACTACAAATATGGTTTCTCTCGGTCATCGTCTCTCTTTGCATCCATTACTGTTATTTGCCCGACTCTGCAGATCAATGCTGATTACTTGAAATTAGTCTTTGGCATTCAGGACCAATCTGTCATAGTTAGCAACTCTCTCGTTTTATTTTAGATCACATACAATGAATAAAGACGACAGACGTGCGAAATCAATAGAAAAGAAGGCATCTAATAGTCGAAAAGCGAGAGATTCTTCTCATCATGGACAAAGTGACAAAAAGTTAAAGATAACAAAAAGGACTACAAAGCCCCGAGCTAACCCGGAGGCTGGTGATTACAATAGGTCAGAAGAACCCGGCATTCCGCGTTCTAAGCATAAACCGTTCGATCTCATGGGTGAAAATGTATCCTCTTTTAAAACGGAAAGACACAATGTACGTACACCAGGTTCCAAGCAAAATCTTGAAAGTTTACAGCACACAAAGCAGAGCCACTCTCAGAAGGAAAATGATAGGAGTCGAAAACGTGATAGCCTTTTAAAACATCAAGAATCTTATAAGATACGTTTGTCTGAAGGTCACCCTACGGGCCAAAAGCACCATGAAGAAACGGTGTCTAAGGATGCACTATCGTCTAGTGTGTCTGGTCACCAAGACTATTCCGGAAAGCTTCAAACACCAGAAGAAATAACGTTCCATCTCTCAAACCGACCTTCGGGTCGAGCAAAAAATACTGGTTCCGAAAATGTCGTTGCCGCTCAACAAGTCTTCCATAGTCGTACGAAGGCCGACGAGCAGTTTACCGAAAGCAGTGAAAAGGGACGTCCTCAATCTACTGTACCGGTTAAAGAGCGCCAACTGTATGAATCGTATTTAGAGGACTTTGAGGATTACGGAAGTGATTTTGAGCAGGCTGATTCTGACAACCCGCAGTCTTCAGCCTCTGAAGACGCAGAACTAGGCAGGCTGGCCGTAATATCTCAACAGTGTGATGATCCTCAGGACAAATCTTCACCTTTTGTATGGTCCACTGTGGCGAATCCCAATTCTCCAAGCGGTTGCAAAACAAGAAATTACCAAACAGAACCACAGTTTGAGAACTCCCAGTTTATTGACTTTAAAAGGTCACTTCAATGTAGCCATTCGTCTGTGCAGCGACGTATGTTAAGACGAGCCCACGACCTACGCCGACTAATTGACTTAGAGTTCGACGGTTGCGGGCATGTGTTTGAGCTGAGGCCGTTGGATGAATATACCACCTATATATTACGATATGGGAAGGCTAATCGTTCTCAAGCTCAGGTGCAAACGAATGAAGATGCTTTGGATCGGGATATTCAGACAGAACCAGTTGAAATCTGTAAAGAAGGGGGCGTTTGGACTCAGTGGCCGCCACTAGACACTGGTGAATGTTTTGGAACAGCGATTCATTGCGGTAAGTCATCAAATAAGTAATTTGCTTTTTTATGGATACCTCCTCCACTTCTTCAAAAGAAATTTAAACAAAAATCGTTTTTGGGTCTAACTTTGGCCCCGGTTTTTGGTTCATTCAATTATTACATGGCAACTATTTTATCGCAGGTAAAGATATCATTTTCACTACCTTGAGAGTTTCTATATACATTACTCCCGCCCCTAGTTATGGTTGCGATTTCCCGAAAGCTTCAGTTTACAGACTGCTGAATACTTAAAAGGGCTGTTATTTAATTGGCATCCTCTTGCAGTTGACTCAATTGCTTATAATGATTCGTGATTTTTGCTCGTGATTCGCCTTTTTTCCACTACATAAGCTTTTAGGTCCCCGCCTTGCTTTAGTGCACCCACAATGCAGTTAATCGTATTCGTTGACGGACTATCCCGTCAAAACATCGCACGCGTTGGATCTAGTTCTTGCTGACCCTACAGTCACCAATTTCCACTACTAAGCTTTTAGGTCCCCGCCTTGCTTTAGTGCACCCACAATGCAGTTAATCGTATTCGTTGACGGACTATCCCGTCAAAACATCGCACGCGTTGGATCTAGTTCTTGCTGACCCTACAGTCACCAAGGTGAAGTGACATACTTGTTTTACTTTGCTTTCTTTGAAACATTAACGACAAATTGATTAGTATTAGACCTAGTTCACTCAATCTTTTTATTTTGTTTTAAAAATGCCATTAGTTTTCCGTTGAATTTTGCCGCTGAATTTTTGAGCAAAAATTGCGGTGAAATTGTGAATCTTCGGGTGCTCTGAGACAAACTGTTCATTTCTATTCCATTGGGAACATGACAGTGTCTTCATGAATGAAAACAGCAGTTTTCAGTTTCTTAGTTTCCTTTAAATGTGTAAGTAGGAAGGAGTAATAAACAAGAAATAAAAAATAGAGAACTCGCTTTGCAATGCAAAAGTGCATCTAGAGGCCTCATGGGCGTATTTTTCACTTTAGTGCTTCGTTTCTAGTTCATCAGAACACGATATTTTTGCCCGTTTTTCTGTTCGTCGTTGTTCATATTTATTGCGAATGCGCGTAATCACTTTCTGTTGTTTCAAACTCTGGCCGCTCATGATGTACCCATTGACGTACAACTGACATCAGTTTATTGGGATTTTTTTCACTTCTCTCTGTTTATTATTGTTCGACTTTTGATAATTATAATTGTTGTTTCTGTTTACAAAATACCTCCAGGATAGAACTGACACAAACTGGGACGTTTATCTTGCTGCTGGCTTGGGTAGGTGGTTAAATTCGCCAACACTGGGTCAATAGAAGCATGATAAAATTAAAATTTGAATCAGCTACTGCTGACCGGTCATAGGATTAGTGAGATGCAGATGATTTTTAATGTGAACACAGAAGTAAACGTTCCACTTAGGCAGAACTTGACTTCACTCTTTAAAATATCACAACTGAAGTTGGAATACTCACCAGGATATGCGGATTTAGAAATAAAGTACACAGGTTAAACAACGAATATGCTGCTGAAATTTGGAAAGGTCCTCCTATGTGTGCGCATCATTTGAACAGATATAAGAGGATGGAGCGGTATGTAAGAGCAAACTACATGCTAGAATGATGAACAAAAATGTCGTTCATTTAATCCTTGATTTAATAAGGTTTATTCAGAGATTATGGCGTCCAGGCGTCTACCTGTCCTGTCTGTTTTATCTTTTCGGCACCAAAATGTGAACTAGCGTACGGAGTTGGATATGAGCTCACAACATTACCCTTTTACAATAGATGGGTGTAACGTTTGCATCATCTTAGGCCCACAATACTGTACGTACTTATTGGCGATAAACCTAAATGTTCGATTTATTGAGCATTTGACTGATCTCCTTTTAAGCGGAATTCTATGAATGCAGTGGTTTTCTATACGGTCAGGAAATTTTAGCCTAGTTTCAGTGTTTTTTTATCGAAACGCATGCGATCATAGTTTTCTTTCAAGCTGTCTGTGGAAAATCCAGCTGGGCTTCAACCAAATCTGATGCAAAGCTTGAACGTACTGAACCGGACGACGTTTTAAAGACACAGTTTTTCCTTTAAGGGTTAGAACTTGGTGACTGCATACACTGCCCAGATCATGTAGATTTTACGTAATTTCTGTGTCCAGAATATACACAGGATCTAGGTGTGGCAAGTGCTTAAATACGGACAGTACTCACAACCTTCCTTGTAGGTTACTGTGAGATTTGTGTGCATGTTAATCAGACGTCTGATAAGCTTCATGATCAGTGCCTTACCCTTGGAGACGTCCAGTATGTCCTTGATGTAGTACTTTTAATATACTGGTTCTTTTATAAGACCACTCAGATAATCTATACATTATAATGATGGAAACGTTTTGTTAATTGTCCGTGACCAATATATCGTTTTGTCTGGAGGGTGAAGTATAGAACTTGCAACTCTATGTGTAACAGATGCAAGCTTCTGGAAACTCCCAGTTGAGCTACCAAGCTGGACGTCGCGCTCAAAATTAAGTCACAAAAAATCGGCGGTTTTATTCAGGACATTGTTGAGCATCCATCTTGTCATTAATATTTGTGGCATCTAAAGACTTAGTGAAACTTTGTTGTTATATTTGCCAGCTTTCTAAATAGTTAGCTGCAAGACATTAGCCATCATGTTAGTTCATTCTGCGGAGAGTTTGACGTATCTGAGTTAGGTCTGCTTGCTTTGGAAAATAAATAAGTCCCCAGTACCGAGCGATCAATTTGATTTTGACTTTTGTGGGTTTCATCCATCCTTCTTTGGAAACACCGTCGTTGTTTCACGTTGCCAGTTGGACATTTCCCACATAATAATTGAAATTTGCAGTCATTATTTATGAAGCGTTTGTGTGTGACCACAGTAACACGTTGTAATTTTTCAGAATGTAGACATTCTCCGATCTGCGCTATCCCCATAAATGGTTACGCATACAAGTTTACCCGTGAACTGGGTAACAATAAACAAGCAGTCATTATCAGTGATTTTGATCTTGATGCAACCAACCACTTGGTTGTAAATCAGGGAATGGTCGAACAAGTCATCATGTGGGGCGTGAACAACCACAAGATTAGGACCCTACGAGTCATCTTGTAGTTCAGGCAGTAAGAAACAACTCTCAATGTTAGGTTATTTTGATTCGTTGAGAAAAGGTCGTGCCCGTATACATCGGTTTCCAAAAGAGATAATCCACTTTAGGGAAGCCTTGAATGAACGCTCGAAAGTAAGGTGTCAGACCGTTTAGTCCCATTGAGTACGGTTTTACAAAAGTTAATAAAAAAATAACTCTTGAACGTAGAGACAGGCCATCAAGCACACAGTGAGTGATTGTAGTTTTATAGCAGCCACATCAAACGGATCTGTATAACTTCACCATTCAAAACAAACATCAGTTTTTTTGTTGTTGGTGATTCGCTGATGATGAGTCAGATCTTTGCATTAACCAGTTCCCCTCTTATGTGTTGTTCGAAGTGCTGATGGAATGTAGCTGCTTAAAGCTAGCAAACTCGTGGTTGGATAAAAGTTTACGCTATCAGCCTTTGGTCGTACATCTGACGTTACATAACCGGACGGCGACTGGATATGGATTATAAATTTTCAGATGAAAGACCAATGTGGGTTGTGAAATTTCACTTTTTCTCACCAGATTACTTATAGCCTATAGGCGGTGAGAACATTCTGAAGTGGGACGTGATAGTGATTTCCAACATGTACGAAGCAGCTGCACACTTTTTAGCACATACCGACCTCGTCTAGAAAGTATGATTTATAATGAACTTATTATCTACAAATTATTACTATTTTTTGATTCGGTGTGGTGGGTCACCTACAACTTTAGAGAAACAGCTTTCCGGTATATCTTATTGTAGATATCTTATTCAAGGAGAAATTAATGCAAATTATTTTGATCAAAGTTCAATGTGAATTTTATGTCCATATTTTGAGAGAGCTGACTTTTGAAACCTAAAAAGAAGGCCTGCCATCAAACTGAACGTACAAGTGAGGTATGAAACTCGTCTTGTGTAATAGCACATCTGTATGTTACGCACAAGTGTCTTTGTAGTAAGCATTTGTTATCTGTTTGTAGCGGGTACGCTTTCTGCCTCGCTGTTTTCGATGGGATTGCTGGCCGATTGATTAATCAGTTCGGCCTGAGGGAGACACTTTGGTCCTAAACAGAGTTCCAGAAAGCCAGCTTTTGGAAGACTACGTATCTCAAATCTGTATTTCCATTAGAATATTATGGAGGTAGCTTTATTTTATCTTTAGCAAAATAAATGACACTCTAACCCCTATTCCGCTTACATCTTTCATAAATTTATTAAGACCTGAATTCCAATCATATACCAATGGTCTACGAAGATGCCTTAACCGCGATAATAAACGAACTGTTGGAAGATTTCCACCCAAACCACGGGAGATCCTCCATTGCTGCAAAAGATTCAAACACAACCCCTTCACGAGGTGCGCTACCCGCAACACGTGGTTTCCTCAAGCAGTTGCGCCTCATTTCTAGAATCCTTGAAGAAGAGGCTATCCAAGATTTAGGGAATGTACCGGCTCAGGACCTCTTCCATTCAGAAGAAGATACTCCCGAAAAATTGACACATTCTGTGTACGGAAGTAGTGGGTGTCTATTCTGCGAATTTGCACCTTTCAATGGAGACAGGCTTATCACAGTCCATGGTGGTAACAAAGTGAGCGATTTCAAAGCCACTCTAGTTTGTGCATCTTCATAGTCTTGTTAGGTAGAAGAAGCTTTCAATACATGCGTGCTAAACACTGGTAAATTCAAGACAAATTGAGAAAATCTAATGCTTTAGTGATAGCTTCTTCTGGACAATACAAATCGAAGGCTCATAAAAGAAACGGCATAGACGAGTAGAATAAGATGAAACTAGTGTCTGTGAGTAAAACATTATGATTTCCTTTTGTCATACTCCATCGCTTTGTTTATCCGGCGGTCAGTGACCAAAACACGGAAGTTTCAATCATCGTACTGGCACTTTCCTTCTGTGTGAGTGAATCTATGTTGCTCTTGGAAGGCGTCGTATGTTGATATAAAATTGATCACGGCAGATATTTAGATAGTTGGTAGGACAGCTCGAATGAAAAGATAGAACTAATTGCATGATTTGCATCAGGCGGTCGGGCTGCTGTTTTCAACTTCCTAATATACGCTTAATTTTGTCTCGTTCACATTATCGGAACACATTCGTCTCCAAGTCATTTCGCTTTACTTCTAGAGTGCCTCATGGACTGACAGTACTGGTTCAGGTTCGACATACAGCAGAGTAGTATGGTGATCGGAAAAATTCTTTCTCCCAATCTTTATTACTTTCGGTCTTGTTTAGAACTAAACAAATCTGTAAATAAATGGGCAATTTACAAGCTGTATTGTAGATTTTATCACGGTGATCATTTGTGACCTAGTGTCTTTCGATTTAATGATTGCGATGTAACGATATATCAACAAGTGAGGAATCATGATCTTTTGAGGTCTTAACGTCGTGTTAAAAGTGAATTGTTATCAGTTCATTATCGCTCAGGGAGTGTATCTTACTGCTATAAGCCCACCTTCAAGGGTTGGTTTCCAATATCGGTTTTATTTAGGCCTCAAGGGATACCAAGCAACCAGGTCAAGGAGAAGTAAGGAGTATCCACGTGGACATTTTTCACGGGGCGACTGCATGTGCCATCTCACGAGCTACAGCAACAAAGCCAAGAAGTTGTGCATGAACGCGTGCGAATTGACGAATAACACAAGCAGGCCTGTATATCATCGTTGAATAAAAGTTAGGTAAATACTTCAGTAGGCTGCTCCGTGGATCGTGAGAGTGATCAGAATCTATCCAAGACAGTAGTACATATATCATTTCAAACCAATGGCACTGAGGAATATGTTAAACAATTTTTTGCATTCTAAAGAATGAGTTAAACAGGGTATTCGGCATCATGCTGGTCGTTGCATGCGGTAAAGAAGATCTTGCAGAACAAAAATAGGATGAACGTGAACGCCGTATACTGAGTAATAGATTAATTATTGTCCTCAATCGGTTCTTTCTCAATCAACAGGTTGTCTCAAGTAATGGGATAAACTACAAATTTGTTTTCAGTTTAAACAGACCCGTTTCGAAGTTTCGGATTTTGCATTTTTTCGTTATATTACTGATGTTACTGACATCTAGCAAAATAGGTGTCTAAGTCCTAACAGCACAATAGTTCTTGATTCCGACTGAATAGGTTAGCAAATGAAGCTGGTTCTCCTATGTTTCCAGACAAGATGGATGTTGTGAAATATTTCTGGTGGCTTGGGGAGTCGGTCACCGAATCAGTGAAACCACGGCTGCACTATGCTCTAGTTGTGTTGGAAATAATAAGTATTTCCGGCGTTTCCTCTGAGATCACTGGGAAATTAGCAGATGTTCGACTTGGAGAATTACTAAGAAACCTCAGAAACTTGCAAGGTCAACAAAAAATGATGCTTCATTCACGCAAGGAACAGTTAGTTGGAGAAACAACAATTTTTAATTAAAGTTTAAGTAAGAGTTGATTGCACTGCTGTTCAACCGCTCCTGACAAAAAATGCTTACCACTGACTGAAAGCTTGCAGGTTCGAACTCTCCGAGATGCGCGCTGTTTATTATTTCAAATAAGGATTACTTGCTATAATGAATGTGCACACGGCTTACGTTTCTTCTCCATTTGACCAAACTAGATGAGATGCTAGGGGCCACCATAAATAGCGTGCATGGGGATGACTTCCAATGAGGTGACTTCATCTTGAAGGGTTTGTGTTATTTCGACCTGCCTGTACTGGCCACATCGATGTGTCAGGGGAAGCCCTTAAGTTAAATTATATGAAAGATCCTTGTGAATATACCAGTACGGTGAGAAAATGTTCTATAGGGGAACACCGCATGGCGTCACTTTCAGAAAATAACGTGAGTCCATAAAAAATTACACCGTCAAGTAGTTAGACTGAGGAAAAAACTGATTTTAGTTTACATTTACTCATGTAAGCTATCAGACGTAACAATGCGATATCCGGAACCTTCAGGTTTCCCTATAATTCTGTCATAAAAACGCTTCTTTCAGTCAACATATATAGAGCGTTTGGAAATGGAGATCATAGTACCTTCATTGTAAGCACTGTGTAACTACTTCTTTTTACCTAGTCACTCACTAGCGACACCAGTGGAGATCGTTGCGGTTTCAATCGTCCCTCTGGTGATGTCATATACGTGTGGTCCATTTCCGACGGTTCAGGCCTTCCAATGTTTCAATTATTTTGTCCTGGACTGTCAGCACCTGAGAACCGTGACCGTATAATCAACTGTGCAGGCTTCAGCCCAGATTCAGCTGCTAATTATGTAAGTTCAGTGCACCTCCAAGGAAGTTCGGCACTGTGTATAACTTTATTCCGTAATAATCATATGGCTGAGGTTCGTTATTTCAGCCTTGTGCCTTGTTAACTTTTAGCAAAAAGTGAGTCTAGTTCTTTTACATTGAGTGTGATGCTGCTACGCACCCCAAAGTTTGGACATGGGAGACGTGATAAGGTTTGAGGTCAAGCATGACCACATCGATTGGGCAACTCAGGAGAGCATTGAGTACGTAAATGGCTAAATATTGGGTAAGAGACCGGTAATGCTCCATTTTTGGCACAATATTCGCGATACGCGTGTCATCGTAGTGCTAGGTTAATCGTTTGGTTAGGCTTAGTTTTTGTGGTGCTCGTCATTATGTCAGCTTCGTAGTTCTAATGAAAGTAAGTGAGAATCCATAGGAAAAATTATGGATAACCTCATGAATCTTACCACAAATCTCCTGGTACTGCATAAAGTGGAACCATCGTTGTTTGTTAGGTAATAATTTCCATTAGAAACTGAAGGTTCGTAGAAGTATGCGTTGAATGAACCGAAATACAGCAATAAGAGTGGTGGCAGATGAAACAAGTCTTCAGGATTGCCATAACATGCTGTTCTAGTGAAGTTTGACAAATTCTTTCACTCAAATCAATCAAGAATGCTTTATTGTACTTTTGATGACTGATTGTGTGATATTTTGTTCGAATTCACTTTATGATGGGCTCAGAGCATCAACCTGATCAGTTTTTTGGTAAGGGACTTTCGCACCATTTACAGTCTATCTGATAACAAGTTTAACGGGCTCTTAACCAGGTTGGCAAGTTTGTATCATCACCTGGAGAAACAGAATGCAGCTTTTAAGACTTTAAAACGTGAGAACCGGCTTGCTGTCTTGTTCAAGCGCTACATCTCTCGGTTTGAGTGGCATTGTTCCGTCTGTATCTGGTATGCGCCTGGACACCCGTCACAGAATGTGTCGGTTTTAAATGAATCTGTGGGTTCTTAAGCTCTACGAATGAAAGGGCTGTTGTTCTCGTGGCCATCGTACTTGAGGAGAAAGCAGAACGGTTTCAACTAGTCCAGAATGAGATACTAGCATTAGATTAGTCGAATTCAACCACTCAGCGTGAACAGAATCCGAATACACACACCGATGTTAATCCAGTTGCCCACAAGGATTGATATCCAGTCACATAGAAATTTCTACCTATTCTACAGTAGTCAGGTGATCGTCTGAATCAGTCAGCAGCTGACTGAATCGTATTCGTATTCGGTCAGCTGTAACGTCCCTTTCAATGCGTAGCCGCAATGCTCGAGAGCTGAAATACTTCCAGGTTACCCAAGCTTAGACACCTGTCTAGATTTTGCGGTTAGGTTTGAACCACGGATCTTTTTATCAGTAAGTTCGTGCCTTAAACACTGAACCAAAGGTGCTGATTTGGCCAAGGAGTTCTTATTGTTCGGAGTCAGCTGTAGAGCTCAGCTGTTATCGGAAATGAGTTTAATTCCCTTGTTGATGGTCTACAACGTTTCACTAATTGCGTGCCTAATTCAGCATCGCTATAACACCATTCAATACTCTTGATGGAATAGAGTCCTAGGGTAGCCTAATGATGGTCGCTGCAGTTTTCCGCTTTTTGTCAGTCCATCGGACGCATTATTCGATAAAGTCTGTCTTTGGATCTTCCAGAAATGGTTCATTTCTGTACATCACCAGTGGAACTGTAGTCGGGAATTTAGGAGGAATTTTAACGTTGTCGCAATATGTACAAAGACCGTTTTTAGCAAAACGTTAGTTTAGAACATTCTTCAACTTCAAATGATATGTATTTTTAAAACACATGACAGGGCTTTGTCCTTTTGTTAACGCTGCGGTATCTAAATAATTGGCCGTCCTGTTTGAGCCGATTTCAGGCAAGCACTTACTAATTCGACAACCCTTAATTACCTGTTAATTGTTCTTCAAAAATTGTGAATAAACTATAACTCGTTAGCCATAAAGCTTCAGCGACAGTGTCCCTAGATGTTGAGAATGTCTTAGAGTGAATGGGGAGACCTCTTCTCTGAATAGGGTAGTTTTTTTATTGGAACTCCTCTCTGTCGCACGAAAAAACTAGTATGGACTGTTAAATTACTTTACGCTATCTAAAAGAAGACTAAACGCTGAAACATGTTAAAAAGTAGTTGGTGTTATCATATTGTCACAATAAACTATTTTTAACCTTCATTATAGAATTATCTTATCATTGGGAGTGTTTGGTCGTTTGGACAATTTACCCCATATCAGATTCAAACCCTTAAGCGTATTGCTTATTCAAATATTTTCATCTGCTTTCAGTTTATTTCAGGTGCACCACCATACTTATGTTTCAGGTTATCGGAGGTCTTACTGACGGAAGTCTATGCTTGTGGGATTTGTGTCATTTACCAAACGAGCTGCAATCTCACTGGAGTGCAACGAAGCACCTGAAGACACAAGCAACCGAAGGATTAGTGTCGTGCAGGACAAGGTTGCCAATTTATTCCACATCCGGAATTGAAATTCAAAAGCTCGAACCAACGCCGTCCGCCCAAACCGTTCATCTGGAGCCGCTAAAGAAGTCAGATGCTGGCAATCACCATGCTGGCATTATCGCACTAGAATGGATTAGTGTCTTGAAAGGCAGACCAGTGAAATCTGACTTTCAGTTTGCTGCCCTTGATTGCTCAGGAGAGCTCAGCATATGGTTGATTATGACGCAAGGCATTGGCATACAGAAAAACGTATATGAAACCATGGCTGGATCGCAGGTTGACTTGGGTCTTCGGCCAAGTCGACACACTGTACGGATGTTGCGACTGATGTACCTTAGTGTTCGGGTACCGTGTTCTGAGGTAACTGTTTCACATCCATTCTTATCTAGATTTCTCTCGTTTCATGAATTTCGGGACTAGATAACCCATAGCTGTTAAAAACAATACCTAAACGTGCAAAACAGTAATGGTCCGTGCTCTAATCGCCGGTTTATCAAAATCCAGCGCAATTCAATAATAAGAATCACCCTTTTCTTAACCGGCGTCGTCTGGCGGCTGCCGAATGATTTGCTAGGCCGCATTAAGGCTAATTTGAGGAGACCACACGAAGGCGGACAAAGGTTGCTCCCAAATTTATCGAATGAACGTAAATGAAGTTTCACGTTTGCGGTTATTCTAGATAAAATCCTCAAATATGTGAAAGGTGCGCCCGAAAGACTGGAAAACTTTGTTCGCACTGAATTGTGTATTGGGCGATTCAGGTCACCTCATGCAAGGGTGGCTTTGTACATCAAAAGATCCGTTATTCTAGTAAAATCCTCAAATATGTGAAAGGTGCGCCCGAAAGACTGGAAAACTTTGTTCACACTGAATTGTGTATTGGGCGATTCAGGTCACCTCATGCAAGGGTGGCTTTGTACATCAAAAGATCCGTCTATGTTAACGAGATTATATGCTTATCCACGTGGAAGAAATAGAGTGAACTTGATCCCGGAATTCGAGTGCGGTTTATGCCTAACGGGAGTTCGCTATGTCTCAGTGGACCTTCCTAAGATGGCTGACAAAAACCAAATAAAATAAGACCTACCGCGGATATTTTGGATATCTTATTAGTCCAACCATCTTCAAAGTTGCCATCCTCTTGACCCCTGAAAAATTAACTTCATCGCTATAGTACAGTCATACAGTAAGATGTATTCAGGTCTACTTGTTCTTCAATACGAAGTGCGCAAAAAAACAGTGGACGAAGAAAACTCCGAATAATCCTGTCGCCACTAACCAGCTGGAGGGTTATTCAGTGTGAGGCATTAGTTTCGGTGCTTGAATAAAAATGTATCCCATATTTTCTGAGGTCGTGGTTAAAAGACGACGGTCCGACATCATTCGTCACGACCACAAAAACGTATTTAACAGCAGGCTACTCTTGACCTATGAGTAACACTGAATATTTGCGAAAACGCTGCTGACGTAGCCGACACAACACTGAACGAAACATTCAGGGTAAGGCAGAATTTTAGCGCAGATGTCCTGAAAACCCTGTAGAAAGTTAGGACTCGCTGTGCATTCACTTCAATCAAGTTGTTGGTTAGGTCACTAAATAAGTTTTGAAGCTGGCCTGGTTTTCCCTTTAGATATTGATTTGGCACGACCAAAGCGGTTTTATGAAAACTCCGGTTTGTGTCTACACTATGAAAAGTAAATGCTTACCATATGTCTGCACCATATTGGTATTAGTGCATTAAGTACAGGAAGGGAATAACTTGTGTTTCCAGGTTTTCCTTACTGATGCTTCTATTATTCTAAAGCATGAGATAGTGAACTTTGTTTCGAGCATTTGCTGTATTTATCCCGTTGTAGCTACCACCGTTTACTTCCTTCAGTCAGGAACACGAAGAGGACAGAGGACGCTTACAGTCAAAAACGGAGTTTTGTAAGAGGACGAAAGCTATTGCAACGGTGATGTCCATAACTCATGAAGGCAATTTCCTTGTTGGGTTTAATGATGGGAGACTGGTACAGCAGTCTCGTTCTATAGAACGAAATATCTATCCAAAAGAGTTCGAACACCCCCCTAGTCGAGCAGCCCTTATTTGCTTGGCAGTTCATCCGGAACGAACCCTAAATATTGTGATAGCAGGTATGATCCTTTTGGGGATGGGTATCTGCCATGTGTGTTCTCTCTGTTTTATTCTTTCATGAATCCAAAATGTAAACTGATGTCATTTTTGAACATTTCATTGTGCCTGCTACGGAACCAGTGTCCACACAACCACATCACTCGGTGACATAAGAGTTTGTTGTCATGAAATTGGTCCACGAAAATTATAAAACAGATGCCGTCGCATTTTATTTGGTTGCTTAAACTTATGGTGTTGCATGCCGTAATCTTTGTTCATTGATTGGAATGCTTTTGATAAATAAGGATTGTCCGGTGCCATTATTTATTATTTAGCTGACTTCGGGGGTTCTCTTTCTACTCGATTCTCGAAACCAGTACCACGTTCCGGAATATTCTGGGGGCCTATTTCACTTATGGTTTTGTATGCTAAGGATCAGAAAGCCATTTTTCACTGCAATGTACAAACAAAACTGCACTTATTGGAATCGTTCTTAACGTTGCACTATTAGAGAGCCCGTAATACAACCCTACCATCTCCGGAAAAGTAATCACCCCATACTGTTCAAGACGTTCACCCCCTATTGACTTTGTCCAGCGATGTGAACAGAAAACTATGGTGTGCGAAGTAGTAGTGTGGAAAGCAGGGTGTGAGTGAATTTCCTTTCCGCATTATCAGGGTTTTTTTATGCTGTTGGGTGGACCACTGTAGTCATGCCAGTAGCAACAAAACGACGTTGTACTAAAGTCTACATTCTTAAACTGTGAGCAGGCAACCCCGTTAAACTAATCAACGCACATAAAAGACTTCAAGGGAAGCCCTCACTTATCTGTCCTTCTCAACCATGTGACAGGAAATGACCTCACTTGTCAACGTAACCTCCAGTGCAACCTGAGTAAATGACCTTATTGAGACACATGATACTACATTGTGCTTTGGAAAGAGTTTTCATTGCTACTGCCATCCGCACGCTACCTCAAGTCAAACAAGTGTTTGAGCCACATCTCTGAAAAACACGATAGCCCTACATGTATAGTAATCCACAAGGAGAGATGGACGTAGCTTAGAACTGAATGAAACTGACTTAACTGCGACGAAGAAAACTATTTGGATAGATCGGCTAATCTTGACCAAGTCTTGCTAGAATGATCATGAAGGGTTACGACACTGGAGTCAGGAAAACCGGTCCTGACCGACCAAAAGGTTTTAATAATGAACTGAGAAGAGGCAAAAGTAAAGCTGATTGGGTGGTCAGTTTGCTCACTTTTTCGTGGTTAGGCGCGCATTCATTTGCGCGGACTTCAAACATTATGTACTCATTTGTTTTGATGGTTGTTAAAACCAGTGTTTATTATCGATTATTTGCTCACTCAACTTGTCTGCTTTGGTTACGTAGCGGCTTTGGAATTCCAACTGGGAGTGTTTTCGGTTCCTAACATGCAAGACCACCGCCTACATCCCTTCGTAATCATGAAGGTAGACACCAAACTTCAACGGTGTTCGATAATCTCAAGCAGAATAAGTAGGAAAGTAGTTTGTTGCATGTAATTGCATCGTTTTAAACTAAACAAAGCCGCTCACATCCAAACTATAGTGCTCAAATGCGGAAGCGAACAAGCCAGTCGCAGCGTGAACAGACACAAGTCAGACCAAGTCACATGCACCACCAGGTGATGAATTTTCCGCTTAGTGCGTTTACCTAAAACAGCTTAGTGTATCGTGTAACTTAAGTGGCGATGTGATTAATATATTGTCCATTACAAGCGAATTCCATTACCCAAGTTGGTCACACGGTCCTATGTTTCCTGATGCGCTTCAGTCATTTGCTGCCACCAGACTCGATGTTTTCCCTGGATATCGAAACGGGCTGTTCTTGAGTGTTTTGCATGGACATACACACAACATTGTGCAGCCACGTTAGCAGCTTTTATCACCTTTTCACCTTGAAATTGCCCAGATTTGATCCCTGTCCATATTTCATCTTTTGGAAATGCAAATCAGTGTATTTCTGAAATTGATGTGTAGGAGGTGTTTAAGTTAATTTGGGAGTGGAAATCTAAGTACCGTTGTAAGCGTAAGGATACCGCCGAGAATAACAATGAGCTCGATTATAAATCCATTAGATGATGATTCATTGTAGCCATCAGATGTAATTTGAAAAACCTGGATCTTTGGGCGCTGAATAATAAAATAGACGACTCAGTTTTATCGAGGCTGCAGTGAGGGCTCGACTTTATTCCCGTCGTTTCTGAATAACAATGATACTTGAGTTGCTATTAAAACAGTTCGACCGACCCAGGAGGGGGAAGCAGCTAGAGTTGATCACGAAACCGACTGATGGTTGCGGAAGGTAGCTTATCTATAGTCATTCATGTATCCAGTTTGATGTCTACTTCTATAACACTTATGAGGTGCACTGCACGAATTGAGCCCTAAATGCATCACCGGTGGTTTGTTCACAGTGGCTATCATTACTGTGCTGCTTTTGTTTCCAAATTTCATTGACTTTGTCTGCCTAGTAAGCGGGCTATTTGTCCCAGGTGATCACCGCATTCATAAGGATCCAACAATCAGTGAACGTTATGGATTGTATCCAGTCATCCAGCATGTAACAAACCATGTTAGACGAACATCTGGACGAAATTGGTGGACAAGAGTAGCAATGAGCCACATTTCACAAGAAGACTTGCTAGTAACACTTTGAAAACATTGCATGCATCCCAAGCGTAATACGAAATAGACAATATGGGGAATACAGTTTTACCTATATCCCTCATTTTAATTTACCCTCCTCATCACGCTTAACTGAAAATAAAGACATAAACCAACATACCGGGTAGAGACATTCAGTAAGTACATACATACCGAAGCAGTTTTATGGTGTATTAGGAGGAATGTTTTGTCTTTTATCTCCTACCTCCCAGAAATTACCCTAAACCAACGGTCTTTTCCTGTTGTTGGTTCTATCACGTCGAAGATAAGTTAATCAGTGCACGATTTGACTAATTGGCGCTGACAGCCACACGACTACTTCAAGCCACCTGTAAAGTAGAAAAAGTAAAATTTCTGTGGTGGTACCACGACACGGTTGTGACAGCTGGTTTGGGTTGAGACCGGCTAGTATGCCTTAATACACTGAACAATTTGTTGTACTAGGCCTGAGGTTTTGCCAGAAATGAAATTCAAGCATCGTCGTTATGTCAGCTGAATCAAGCCAAGCCATAGCCAACACAGAGCTCCGTGTTTGTATATTCTAGGTTCTACTTGTTAGCGTCACAGTCTCACAATCTGTCGGGAACAAACACATTGAGTTCAGTGGGTGAGCTGTTTCGGTTTCTTCGCAAAACCCAACCTGGATGCTCTTGAAATTTCGGGAATTTAAGCCAATAACAGCGACAGAAATGACTTTCTTTTGACATCGATGTATAGACCAGGCTGTATAGTGGCTGGCACTACCCAGCCATATATGTATTATGTATTGTATGTATATATGTATTATGACTGGCGCCGGATACCGGACCACAATTTAGGCAGGCAACTGTTTAACAGTCACCACTGTACTCGGGATTCGCAGGCTACCTGTTGTGAATTATAACTGCCCCTACTATTCATTCCCTAGTTTTGTTCTCCCGAATGTGCTACGGTGTAAAGTGTTTAGTTGGTTCCACATGTCAGGTCCACAAAGCTGAATCGACAAATCGGAAACGGATGCCAGCCAATATAACGCCTGGTTTAACTAAGTGGTATGGATTGATGAAACAAGAATGTGCCTTGAACTACAGAGGGACTTCCTTCTTCGAAAGATGCCATGGAGTAAATTGGCAACTCATGGCTTTTGGAGGACGATGAGGTCCGTATCTTGAGTTGGGGTCTTGATTTTCGGGATATGAACTGGAGGTGTCAGTCACAATAGACCAGCAACAAATCTCTCAAAACGTTTTAAAATTTCCTCATCCTCGATTCCATTAATTTGATTTATTGTTCCAAACAAGAAGGACTGATGAAGCTTGTAGTAACCCTCATTTACGTCCTTAATATTTTCTAAATTTTTTCCTCTTTAAATAGCCGGGAGACACAGCTAACAAATCTCCGACACAAAACATTTGATTATCACGTAAAAAATATACTTTTTACTGAACTAAACAAATGACCGATTAACCTTCTATATTATGCACTGTATTTTACAATTCAGTGTGTCGTTAGAGATTGTAGCAATGACCTGATAGCAGATTTGCTCAAACTCTGAACTTTGCGTACGTGCACCTAATGAGTTTTCTAAGTTACAGTGCTTGGTGTTTCAAAAGTCCTACAACTATGGTTGGCTGTGAGTATGGAAGACGCCAAGATATTTTCTGTCTCAAATGTTTTTCGCGTTGGAGACAGGGTCGAAGACAGGGTATTGCTCTGTATACGTACTAAGTTGTGTATTGCAGCAATTCAGGGGGATATTACCCTCAAGTGGATCCCTACAAATGCGTGGCTAACAAAGCGGCGAAACTACGTAACTCGTTTAACGTATATAAACAACAAGTTCAAACGACCACAAAATCCACCAGTTTGGTGAAGCCTCTCCGTTGAAGTATAGTTGTGACTGTTGTTGAACCAGGTTTAACGTTCAATATTCAGTTTATTCGTAGGCCAATCATGACGACCACCAGAATGTTAGAGATTGCTAAACAATCAAACTAACAGCGGCAATTGCGTGCTGAGGATATCTTTTTGATCTGTGTTGAGACAGCTCAGTGGTTAACGCGAAAAATAACTGACAAGAAGGTTCGTCGTTCGAAACCAAATGTGGCATCTCGACCGCTCCTAGGCCAAGCTGATAGTATTACATCCCTCATGCTTCCTTCGAGGGGCATGGCAGATAAACACCAAAAGCATGTTACATCCGAACGAATTTTTTCATTGGTGGAGACACTTTTGCAAGGGAAATGCCAAGCTCAATGAACAGATCAAAAGCCGCTCGGTAAACGTACCCGAACAACCAGTGTTTTGACACCTTTCTCACGTGTAGCACAACTAACTTCTAAATTTGCTCAAAATCTTACCTTACTGTTCCATCATTGTGCGTCATACAAGTGAGTCCTGAGGACATTGTGGAAGTTACTTTATCATGCAGTTTTATCAGTAACTGAGTGTAGAATTTATCGTTATATTCTCCGTTTCGTTTGATTGTAGAGTAGGATTGTAACATCACCCTTGTACATCCGAAAGTTTGAGTTTAAACTAATTCATTTTTCTCATTGACAGGATACACTGATGGGGTGATTCGACTCTTCAGTATGCGGCACCCTTTTGTCTTACAGCAGTGGTATCTCTCCCAGTGTCGGGTTCAACTTGACAGTGCTATTAAAATTTCCTGGACTCAATCGTTACCATCCGTATTTTTCAGCTTGAGTTCTTCTGGACAAGTGTGTAGTTGGGATATTTTGGGAAATCTGACCTGCAAAGGAGTCAGTCTCATTACAGAAGAGGACCAAAGAGAAAACAACCAAAACTATCCGGATGCGAACTCGGACAAGATTACTGATTTCTCTTTGGGACACAACAACCTGGTCAACATGGATGGAACTCTTGTCCCGTCGACTGCCATCGCACTCATATATCCGACCACCGTCAAGATTCAGTGGCTTCAACCGGATTCAGTAGGTACCGTATCAAATGACTTGGCTTGTTTAAAGACTCATTTAGATTGTCTGATAGCTCAGTAGTAATTGACTCGAGTCTGTCAAGATTTCGGGTATCAAAACGGTGTACAATAATTGTGTTTACTTGCTGTGCTACACAGATCTTTCACCATGCCAAAATAATATATAAATTATTTGAACTGATGTTAGCTTGTTTCTTAAATGAGTGTCTTGCTCAGGACGCTTGTCCTTTGAGAACCAATCTTCCCGTTAACTGGTTTGCTCCAGTAACCAGAACGCTCTGTGCATGGCCGACATCCTAAATTAGGAAGGTTAAATGTGCTCAATTTCTCGAACAAATAATGCTACTTATCCCAACAAGAGCTTTTTTCCTTAAGGCGCTTTTTTGAAGTAGTGACAATTCTTACCTCGTGAAACGTCCAACAGTACGGACAAACAATGCTATCCTGGGACTTTCATACGGACTTTCTAATAACCAACAAGAACGTGAGCAGAAATAGAATTGGCTACTGGTGGAACTCACCTGCATATCACTGTCTTCCTGTCCTAGCGAAATTGTTTTGTTGATTTCGGACAAAAGGAAGGAAGCAAATGACTCGAATTTCGCTCTCAGTAGAACTTATCAGCAATGCACAGACTTACCGGTATATCATAACTATAATCGTGCGTCGTACAAGTGAATTGCTTACATGTAAAGCAACACTGTTTTTATCGTGGTAGTCTCTCTACATTCCATGGTGAGTAAATTAGACGCACTATTCCCACTACCGGACACTTTGATTGTATAGGTGAGCTTGACTAGGACTCAGGACTAAGTAGTTCAAACAGATTCGCATAAGTGGGTACATTTAGATTACTCTCCAACCAGACATGGAAAGATGAACGCACTTAAAACGTTTACTATGAGATAAACTGAGGTACTTGGGAACGCTTCGTCAAAGTTGTGAAAAAACTGCACTAATGGACGTTTTTTATAGCTTGACTTCAGTTAGAAGTGAATTAATTTTTCGGTTTAGTCTGGTATGTTTGGAGCCCTGTGCTTTCCCCAAGTGTTTAATGAGGTGCAACAACAACAATTAGGATGCCGTTTCCTTTTTCTGTTCACCATTTCGTCTTTCCCAGATTTATTGCACCTGCGAGAAAAATCCACAACTAGAAACCTTCTGAATTTTTCACAATATTCCATCTTCGGTTCCAATTAGGCTGTACCCTTTCACGAAAGGGTCTTTAATATTGAAGAAAGCCTATGAACACCGTGCGGCCGGTTCACGCTTGTCATTGATCACATGCAGCACCCGGGGCTAAGTATCACAACCTTGAACCGAAGATTTCAGCAACTCCACTTTTACCGCGAATCAATGACCACATAAATCAGCCCGGTTTGTACACGATACGCTTATTATCATCATTACAGGTGCGTACTACGTACCTTAGTGTTCATTATCCGTTTGGACAGTGAAGCTTCGGAGGTAGACCCACACATTACAAAGAGCCACATTGCTTTGCTAGGATGTTACCCAATTTTGTAGGTAGTGGGAATATCTAATAATGATGCGTTTTGAGATTAGTCACGAGGATATTAAGTAAACGATTCAGGAGATCTGAGACGCATCACATTACGTGTTTACTGTTGGTTAGAACAACCACGCTGTGCACTTTGTGGGTCTTGGAGAGGACCAAATATGTTTGAACCACGATTATCTCATTGATTACGTCATAACGCGGTAAATTTTTAAAATAGAACAACTGAGGTTCTAATGTGAATGCGTGTGTCCTACTCACAGGAAGAGTCATTTTTTCCCGTATAACTTGACATTTTCATCTCCTTATTATCGAAGCACAAAAGTATTGGGTTAATGCCATATACCACCGTGGTGTTAAGAACCGAAGAATAAACACACCTTGCAAACTTCCGGGAGTGTCAGTCGATACCAATGTTTAGAAAAACCATATTGTCCATGAAAACTCTTATTTGACATCAGTCAATGCGAACTTCCCTAGTGAGTCGTACGTAATTTACGCGGTGACTATTTCAAGTCTATTTAGTAAGCCAAGTAGTTTTTTACTTGAAGGGTTAGTTTGCTGGACTGAGCTACCGTGTTTTTGCCCGAGTTTTGTAATCTTACGACGATCATCTGTTGGGAATATCTCAAAATTGGCACAAAATGGCCGTGTCCTAATCAGTTGAACAGGCCTGGTTTTCGGGGTATCAATGTGAGATAGGAACAGGTTTTCCGTGGTAACTCGTAATTTGGGAAGTTAGAGAGGCTTGTGGAGATTTCGTAGAGAAGGGAATGCAGCTCATATCCCGTGTTCTGCAGTGACGGTGATACCCTGATCAATCTGAGCAAGTCAGCAAAAGCAGCTATGTTACGGAACGATATAATTTTGCTGGAAAACTTGTAAAACAGTTTACAACGTTTATATAGTCCTAAAACAACGGGAGTACTCCACTTAGGTCCTTATAAGCGCAGGGGATGGTCTAAGACGAGTAATAGATATGGCCTCCAGAACTTTGTTTCACTGCCTTGTTCTTCACATGGGAGAGTACCACTGAAATCCATGGTGCAGAGACGTCAACGTTATGCATCCCTTCGTGCGCCTCCGTGACCTATTGAGCTGCAGGGGCTACGGTGGTTTATGTGACATTCTTAGAGACCATCACATCTGTTTTTTTATTGGTTAAACCAAAAATGTTTCTTACGCTGCAGATTAGGGTTTGGGACGTGTTGGTAGGAACGGTTCCTAAACAAGCTGAACTATTCCAGTAGTCTAACCCCAACGCCCATTGCTTAGCGATAAGGCTTTTGAGCCACAAGCTTCACCTGAGGACCTCAGTCGTCCTGTTACCTGAATTTAGTAGCCCTAGTGGAATCACAGCACACTTACATATGATAACCGTACAAATGCCATTTTTTTCACGTTAAATCGGCTTTTGGGTGATGCGATCAGCTTGGTCGTCCTAACTGCCTCATACAACAGAGAAGGTAAGAAAACTAATAGAGAAATCCCCAATGTTTCCTTCAAATCTCTGTCCTACTTAAAGCTCATCCATCCTCAGATCCCAGCTAGAGTATGCCTGGCCTATACTCAACAAAGTGACTGATAGCATGCCAAGACCGACGTCGAACCGCACCCACTTCTTTCACCTCATTCCCTGCTTTTATCGCACCCACTTGAGTGATCAACTAATGAGGTTCACTGGAGCGCACTGCTGAGACTTCTTCAAAAAATATTCGCTGCGCTTTGAATCAATAAATGTCCAAGTACGTTAACCTGGCTTATGGCACGTTTGTTTCCTAGGCATCACCACGTACAAACTCTAAATGATTCCACATCTGTTGTGGAGAGTAACGTCGGAATTTTTGCCTGTCAGCCTCCTCTCTGTCGAGACTTCCTTATTGATTGGGTCCTCATGCACAGCCAAATTTTACGGCTTGCTTGTCAGCCCCCATGAGAATCACAACTGGCCGTTATAAAGTATGTACTTTATTTGTAGCTTCTGTGCATTCGCCTAGGAATTGTGGCTCCAATTCCGCGAAAGCTACATTTTATCAGGAACTATCCACTCTCCTATTTGGCACAGAGGGCTCAAACACTTTTCTTATCGCTGGAGATCCCGTTTCCGAAGTAGACTGTCTCAGCTAGTGGGAAGTGTAACTCGAGGACGCGTTCAGTTTGGACTAAGGACTGTTTGCTGTTCTCCTTTTATAGCTTTACAGCTTTTTCTTGAAGGCACTAAATTTAGGCGCCATTGCCCTACCTGGTATCTTTTTAAGGATACCTTTCTACCCTTCTAACTAGTTTTTACGCTCTTTTCCCCTATGGCTGCGCGGTAGCCCGAGTATCGACTTCCAGAGTTGGTGTATTTCTGCCAATAATGGTGAAAATAATTTCAGAAAACCGTGCAAAGTAACTGCACCAGCACGAGGTTTTTGAGCAGATTTCTTGGCCAAGACTCTCAAGGCCGTCTAATTCAACCCACATGTGAGTTGAATTGGTAGTAAGAGGTATGCCATTGAGGTTAATGAGGGGAGTCAGCCAATGTCAGCGCTAACGACAAAACATCGTGTGCCAGCAGTTACGTTCTGCAGTAGCTCTGGCGCAATTAGGCTGAAATCTACACAGGTCCGCTTTGGTGGTTTGTTAATGAGTTCTCAGTTTTGAAATACAGAAGTTTAATTTAAACCAAACAACAAGCGACGGTGATGAACCCTTTTCTCTGGAACTTAGCCTAGGTTTCTCATACTCCGAGATGGATTTTTGGTAAGAATGACACAGGGTTTATTTCCCTCTATTTAGGAGCTGTACGAAGTAAGTAGTCAACAAAGAGCGACAAAGCAAAACAAGGTGGCCTATTTGCGGAAAAACGTGAATTCCGGTATTCCGTGCACTGTAAGCCGGAAAATTCAGCTAAAAGTTAAATAAGAAAGACATAAGAAAAAATCTATGGAAATAATGCTCAAATCGATGAACATTTGACAGTGTAGGATGCAGGCAAACCGAATTATGTTGGGGATTAGCCAAGGTTTCTCATACTCCGAGATGGATTTTTGGTAAGAATGACACAGGGTTTATTTCCCTCTATTTAGGAGCTGTACGAAGTAAGTAGTCAACAAAGAGCGACAAAGCAAAACAAGGTGGCCTATTTGCGGAAAAGCGTGAATTCCGGTATTCCGTGCACTGTAAGCCGGAAAATTCAGCTAAAAGTTAAATAAGAAAGACATAAGAAAAAATCTATGGAAATAATGCTCAAATCGATGAACATTTGACAGTGTAGGATGCAGGCAAACCGAATTATGTTGGGGAAACTTTCAAGTTGTCTACATCTTCCAAACTTGCAACAATCGGTGATTACATGAAGGGACACATGGATAGTTCTGCAATTAGATTCCGGTCAAGCAGATGATATGAAATTCAGCTTGCTGGCACGTTAGCTCCACATTGTGCCAACACTTTAGGACTGTGTTGAAAGATTCTAACAGACAAACTCTATTCATCCTGGGTCATTATATATCTGACTTGGAATTGGACACGGCTTATTATGCTAAAGTCCTCGTGATTTATATACAAACTCAGGATATCCTCAGCACACAAGATGAAAAGCTTTCCGACAAAAGGATGGTTAAAAGCGTTTCTGATAAAACAGTACATTTTATGATCTGAGT